AGTGCCAGTCTGGGTCTAGGAATGTGGGGCAGTGCCAGTCTGGGTCTAGGAATCTGGCACAGTTTCAATCTAGGTCTAGGTATCTAGGACAGTGGCAGTCCTGGTCTACATGTAGGTATCTAGGACAGTGGCAGTCCTGGCCCAGGTATCTGAAATAGTGCCAGTCCTGGTCCAGGAATCTGTGGAAGTGCCAGTCCTGGTTCAGGAATCTGTGGCAGTGCCAGTCCTGATCCAGGAATTTGGGACAGTCATTCTGGTCCAGGAATCTGAAGCTGTTCTGGTCCAGGTATCTATGGGGACAGTACCAATGTGGTATGGTGCTAAAACACCGCTGGACTATCTCTCTTTTATTAGACTAACCTGATTGTTGGTAATTTAACAGTTTACCTAGACATGTTACATATCAATAATATTTCTCTCAATGGTCACAACAAATAAACAGATTTGATCGTCAGCCAGCTGTTGTGTACAACACAGACCATAATATTATATGGGTTTAACTGATCGACATCTGCCAGTCAAAGTGATGTCGACTTAACACTCAAATTAGTTGTACACAAACTTATAGCATGACTCTACAATAAAAAATAAATTACACAAGTAAATAAAAACAATATCATATTAAATAATTTATTCATTCTATTTTTTTTTTTTTTTGAAAAAAAAATGCATATTTTTATTTTTTTCACTTAAATGTCTTCTCCACAGTCGAGTCCTTATTATACTTGTAGTACAATATAAATGAAAAGTCAAATTCTGTTTCAATAAATGTAATATACAAATATAAATGGCATTCTCTAATCTAACAAATATCTATAGAAAACAAAACGAACGACAGGATTATCCACCTCTGAATACAATGGTCTTTATCCTCACACCAAAAGAATATTTGTGGTATTCCAATTACACATAATTTTACACCAAAGAACTACATAAATGCCCGCCTGTGCTCAGTTCTGTTGTTGACCTTTTGACGGTGCAACAGGTGGTGTGTTATATTCGGAGCTTATTTAGACGCTAAACATAACATACCTACTCCATTTCGTATATTTAATATTGTGTATTTCCATTGAATGTAATATCTGTCTGATTGAATTTGAATAATTGCCATTTCAATTTAACATTTGTTAACATACGCAGTCATTATGTTGTCGTTGAGTGATGTGCAGTACAAACTCAGATGTGGGAATCATTATTTTTTTTCGGTTTTTACTTTTTTGTGTGTGTGTGTGTGTTTATAATTTTATTGTTGTACCTTTCGTGTTGATCAAAACAAATATGCAAATTGTTGTATGATAAATGTGTTGTCTGCTGGTGATGACGAAACAGTATGATGACGGTGTCAATGATGGCGGAGTTAATTCCAAGCAAACAGTGGCTGATTTACTTATATATAAATTATGTTTAAATGATATTTTGGAAATATGTGACTGAGTTGCAGGTGCGTCAGGGTTTTGAACTATAGTCATTTATACATCTGAGCCACAGATTAGAATAAATAGAGCTAAAACTTTATCAACCAAATATTAATTTTTATTTTCAATTTTGATTTCATGTTTATTGACAGTTTTTAAATTCTATTCGGCAGCTGTTTGGTTTGTCCTCATTTCACCAGTATGCCCGGATTAAAACAAACAAATAAATCCAAGCACTGTTGTGTAAAATTGTAATTAAATGTGGATCAGTGTTGGCTGGAGCGGTGAAACACAGATTAAAAAAGTTAGTAGCTTATTATCTATGCTTTTTATGGGATTAGTTTTTGCTAAAAATGAGGTTATATTTTAACAGAAACATCAAATATTATCATTACACTGATTTGATAAGGGCATAATATTTATGTTTGTAAGTCAAGTGTTCAATATGGTTTTAAATTATTAACCTTATTAAGCTTGGCGGTTCTTGTAAAACCAAATTTATGGGATTATCTTTTTTTTTGTTTTTTATATCAAAGTACAGATACATTTATTCAATTATTATAATATGTGGCAATCAATATTGCATAATGTGAAGTCTATGTTGTACAGTTATTATATATGAATGCTTATGTGAAGAGAAATGTTATAATTCATTAAAACAGACACCCTTGCAGTTTATAGTGTAATTAAACACAACTGACTAATAAAAAACTTATTTGCATTACAAAATAAAACTAAACATTGAAATGAGAAATTTTACAGAAAACATGCATTAAAAGTTAATTTTAAACGCGTTTTGAGTTCATAGCTTTTAGATCAGATCTTTTCGCCTAAATTTGTCTGCACTTTTTGACTCCTGTGTGTGAAGCTTTGTGGGAGTCTTTGCAGTTTATGTGTCTCTATGTGTGTGTATGTGTATCTGTTCCACCGATATCTCAAGAACCATATGTGGGATTTTGATGTAACTTGGTACAAAGATGCTCTGGCCTAATGCACAGATTTGATTAGGTTTCGGTTCAGATCCATGCAAATTAATTACCTAATTATGCATTCTAATTAGCCAATTTTTAGCTTTTGCATAACTTTTCCAATCATATCCCAAGAATATCTCATTGTATTTTGATGAAATTTGGTGCATATAGTAGTTGCACAGACATAATCAGCAAATACATGATTTTTGATCAATTTTAGCAATCAATTCTCTGTACAGCTGTTATATGATTTGCAAAGTAATTAAACAATTTCTATCCATTGCAATATCTCGAGCTGCTTGATGCCTGCATGTTCTGTAATAACCATCAGACCTCATTTCTTTAGGACTCCAATGTCCTTGGCTCATGGGAGTTCTTTTTAAGTTTTCCTTGATTTCTTATATTATTCAATATTTCTGGAAATGAACCCAAATTTTTGAGCTAACAGACAAAATTTGAGTCAATTTTCATTTTTTACTCAAAACATTTGGCTATTTTGTTCCATTCTTCTGAATGAAATTGACTACAAACATGTCTATTTTGTGAATTTGTGATGAAACTGGTGGGGAAGACGTTAATATTTTTTTTATAGGTACTGTAAAATGACTAATTTTCACTGGGTTTAAATTTCACTGATTTACCATTTCGGGCATATTCAGTGGATTTAAATTCACGGTTTCGCCATTTAGATAATGTGTTCTATGCTAAATTTTACATATTCACTGTGTTTTAATTTAGCGCATTTTTCCAGTCAGCAAAATAAGCTAAATTAAAACCCAGTGAATAATTACCCCCTTTACAGTACATCTTACCTTAATATTTTATTGACTATACGAAAATCGTTGTACCATAACCTACCTGAGAGGGAGCCCTGCAAAGCCACTTCATCTGAAAGTGACTTTTTACTATAGGAACCATTTTCATAAAAACATACATTAGTTCATATATATGTAGAGTCAACTCGTGTAGTCGCGTCTTAATTTCTCTGTTCACGTATGTAAATCTGCTCTACAAACTCATCGTTTAGTATCGAGCACTCTCACCTGGAATAATCGACTACCTTCCTATATATATATATATTTAGTGGGTTTTGATAACAACATAATATAAAAGTATTCGATAAAAATCAAAAAAACTGATGATACAGTTTGAAAGACAACTAGCTTTAAGAAGACTAACAACTCTCCTAACGACGAATTACAATTGTTTATGTTTACTCTGAATATCATCAAGTCTTTAACTAATATGCAGCTCTATGTTCAATAAAATGTCTTGAGTCTGTTGTATACAAGAAAGAGTTCTTTTGACCTCTTTAAATTGTTATTTTGTTGTTAAAATTGTTCTTTCAAAAATACTCACGCTTCGCAAACATAAAATTGATGTAGTAGTTAACCATTGAATATTAGTACACAATTTGTCTGCTTATTGCCAACGCGTTCTGCTATTCAGACCCCATCTATCAACGTCTTGTCATTCCATGAATTAATGTAAGCTGATAACAGTTTGAAGAATAGAGATGATAAACCTGGTCAAGTTATTTGACCCCTGACCCTTGACCTTTGGTTGTCATGGTATCTTGTATTACTTGCATTTATGACCACTTAAGTGATAACATTTTCCATTGAATAAAATTAAAAAACAATTTTCAACAAATTTGAAATAGTTATTCGGGTTGTTAACAATGATGATGAATTGTTAGCATCTGCCTCTTATCCAAGGACAATTTTTTTTAAAGGAAAATAAAAGAAAAAAAAGAAAAAATTGCATTTGTGTTTTTCAACAAATACTGTGGAATACTTTATTTTTTGCTGAAAAGGCTTTTTGGGCGTTTTGTATGGAATTTATTTTCACTGGTTTTTGACGAGTTTAATGTGAAATATAGGAAAAAAAGTATATTCGCTGGATTTTATTTTCACAGAATCATCCCTTCAGCGAAAATAAAGTATTCTACAGTAGTCCTTCATATGCATGACCCTCTGGAAAGGTCGCACATCCTGGTACTTTGCTCTATTAGCAGAGCATACTCTTATGTAAAAGACAGCCGAGTTTATAAACAAATAAGACCTGTTCTCTTTATTTAGTGGACTGTAAACAAATTAGCTGGAATTAATTTTCTCTGAAAAAACATTTTGGGTGTTTTGGGTGTTTAGTTCAGTTGAATGTAAAATATAGAAAAAAAGGCATATGCACTGAATATTATTTTAAATAAATCATCTCTTCAGCAAAAATAGCTTTTGTGAGAATATGCAGTATTTTACAGTATAATAAATACAATTTTTGTTTCATGTCTGTTTCTTTTATAGACACGCTTCTAATAAAGCAATTATGGTAGTTGTCACCGACATTTAACAATGTTGTCCGTCCCTACACATGTTTTATTGATGTTCTATTTACCTGTCTGTGAATGGTGACCCTTGTTTTTTTAGAAATAATTTATTTGATTATGTAAATGTCGTCTATGATCAATCTTAGTCATATTTCAGTGGTCGAACATACATGGTAATACACATATTTTTTGTTTATGGTCACTTCTTTTGGAGATGTGCGTCTGATAAAAGCAGATCTATGTGTATACATGTGCTGATATTTTTTTTCTTCCTTTTTTATCTTACAGACCTAGTAATTGGGAAGAGCATGTCAGTAGGTTTTTAAAAGACAGACAAATTCCCTGCAATTCCTTTGGGGAAGGAATACCGTTTGTGAGTTTGTCATGTGAAAATAAAGTAGGTAATTTTACTTGCATTTCAGTTACAATAATTACTGATTAATACTTGGTGTTCTTCCTAGGATTTTGGTCAAGGATGGTGGGTAATTTGCATAATAATAAGCATATGATTTACATAATTGATTCGTAATGTGTGTAGATTTTTTTTAATTTTTTTTAATTGCTCATACATTTTTTCGGTAGTTTTGACATAGTGTAATGATTAGAGACCAAAACTTTCAATGAGTATATGTTGACCCATATAAACTTAACAGCCTTAGGTTATTGTTTATGAACAGCGAGTATGCATCTCATAGAACAATAGCTATCATCGTAGACAAAGGTAAAGGTGTGGAAATTATCGATGGAACCCACACATGTTTTAGTTTACTTTTACGATTACGTCATTGTTACATTTAGCTACAATGTTATAGCGTTCAGCCAACTGTATGGTTTACCGCTCAAATTTTGTTATTGTTGCAATCTATCACTTTGCTGTTGTGCCACCATCTTGTTATCTCTTGGTGTGTTCGAAATAAAACTATCGAATGGAAGCACGGTGGTAATGATTTTGAGTGTGGCAGTGTGTCTAACATGGCGGTCTCTCAGAACAGCATGGCGGTCCTGCCACGCTGTTTGTATCCTTGGGAGAACACTAAATACTAATTAATTTATATTAATATTTATTAATATTTAATCATACTGTATTTACTCTAATAGTAACGCCTGCACATACATAAATAACAGCCATATTTTAATGATTCAGCTTAAAATAGATGCGATTTGTTTGTTTATATGCACTACTATTAAAAATGCATTTCAAAAAGAATAAATACGGTCCAAATTAAAGAAGACAAGGTTAGGTACCTGATGGGAAATAACGTGTCTAGTCTGATTTCCTGCGTAAAATGAAATTAACATTTGATATGTATATTTATAGACAGAGGGCTACTGTACAGACTTGATTAAAGTTGCTCAAAAAAAAAAAAAATTAATTTAGATGTAACAAATATTAAATTGTAAATTTCTACCAAAGAACTAAGAATACTTGTATATCTTGTTGTTTTAGTGTGAAAATCCTAATTCACTATATATTCAAATCAAACTGTGTCATGTAAACCACCACCGCTACCAACAAATGAAGCAATAACGACATCATTTACCAAATGAAGTTTGGGTTTGAGCGATTAGCAATGAGGTATTACCCAGTGACGTCGTAATTGACATAGCATTTTGAATTATATATGTATAATCATTTGTAATATGATACACATAAAAGTATGGATACTGCTTTCAACTTTGTCAAATTTCATATTATTGATCTTTACAATATTTGTTTGCGTTACGAGAATTATGGATCGAGATTTTCAGATGTCACCTGACCATGTCCCATGACCCCTATAAATGAACCATGTCAGAAGGTGGTTAAAACGAAACCGGTTTTATGGAATTGTGGGAAAGATGGATTGCCACCATTTTTATTTCACATCCAATTCAGTGATGTATAAGGGCAGTGTTGGCATAGTAACTTGATAATTTATTTTATTTATCATGCTCTTCTTACAGTAACTACTGACCTAAATAACGCACGACAAAAGTGCAGCGTAAAACTAGCCTAACAATAAGAAATAAATGAATACACACATGTATTTAGAAGAAACTAAGATCTATACTGTTCTTGTCTATTCGAAGATAATTTAGTTCAATATTTCATCTTAAACTCAGACTCACCTTGAATTTATTATATGTACTGCACCCAGTATGAATAAATATTAAAGTGTAAACTTAAACTGGTCAAGGTAGATTTGGACAGTATAATGAAATGTCTCTAATGTAAACATGTTATATTTTTCATATGATTAACAGTAATTAATTACTAATTCTTCATAATTTTTGTTCAAAATGAAATAATATTCATCAAAAGAGGACAGTTATATATTCTAAGTTTACTATTGCATGTATGTGAAATAAGGGCATGGCTAACTCGTAACAATACCGAAAATTTAGAGGTACTCGTCATTCTTGATATTTAGTTCCATAAAATAAGAACAATTAAAAAGATGGGATTCCGGAAGTGGTTTCCATGGAAACTATGCCATTGTGAATTCCCCAATAGATTTACGCTTCGCCCCTACTCTGGTTGCCATTATAAATTAATATTTTTTTCAGAATAGAAAAAAAAAATATTCAGTGTAAAGAGCATTTTTTAAGAGAAAAAGAAAACTTGCTAAATCAATGATTAATATTAAATAATAACTTAACATATAAAATTTGACCTTATTTTAGTTATAAATTGAGCACTCAAAAAAACATTACCTTTATTAAGCCAGCAGGTCCTGAATAATCCCTGACCTGTGCCAATTATATAGACAACAAATAATCCTGCGATTAAAACAACCGTAAATTGTCACAGCAAAGATTCTTTCCCACCCACAAAAAAAGCTTTGTAAAAAACATACAATCATTTACAAATCATCAATTCTTTGCAGGTTGGGTTGCTAAGCAACAGTCTTTAAATGTAAAATTCAAGTTCAACAGTTTTTGGTCAACATGATCTATTAATTTTTATTCGAGAAAAAAAATCTTTAACCTTGACTCACACAGGATGTTTACCTTGTATAGCCCCTTGCTGAAAAAGTCAATGTCCTGCCAAGCAATCTTCATCAATTCATCATTATGAAAACTACGTTTGTTCTTTTCATTCAACGAACAATAATGTTTTTCCTACTTTTTAAATATCAATTCATAGAGAGAAAAAAAATGCCAATCATATTTCTGTCAATCACAAATGATTGTAAAATTGTTTTTTTACATTTACGTTTTTTTTGCAATCAAAACATACTGACATACAATTGGTGAATGTGCTCGTGAGAATCCACGTTACACTAATAAAGAAAATGATATTAAAGGTGTTAAAATGGTGAATGGATTGCAACATTAATCTAATTCAGCCTGCCTATATTGTGCATTGCGAGTCACTCATTCATGTCTTGTATGTATACATGTGGTGAGGCATTAATATGTAATTTGAAAGGAGTCCTTTCCTACTAGATGATGTACCCTGCACGGATTTGCTGACATATTCAAGCGTGTTAGGTCGGTTAACATTTATTCACTTCGTTAATTCGTAGTTTAATATTTAGCGCCGATCATTTATCGAGTCACTCCACATCTATTGCTTAACTGACGTGTTTTACTATTTTTATAAGTTTTCATCCTTGATGTTTCTTTAGAATTCAGAGACTAACAATAAAGTTTTTTGTAGAATTGTCATTCTGGTGTGATAGGTGGTGGAGTGCATCATTTCTTTTTTGATGTATTCAAATGAAATATATTGTGTTTTAATTTTTGCATTCATTGGTTAAGTACTGATTTAGTTAAAAAAAAAAATTCGGTAATAAATTTAGTTATGCAGTTTCTGTGATTGCTGTAAATATAAGTGGAATTCTTGATAAGGCTGGAATGCTGGGCTTTTTGTTGCCATGCATACTGTATTTGTTCCGTTAGCAGCCATGTGCTTATGTAAATGATACAGAATTGAAATCATTTCCTCAATTTTTCACAACAGATGCTATGGCGTCATACGTAACCCATAATGCTTTGCTAGTGATTCAAGATCGTGGAATACAATACTGATAAAAAGTTGTATATCGAGGAAATGAAAAGCGTTATAAAAAAAACGGTCAATTGTGTTTTCCTGCGTTTGTTTAGCTTGATACATTATGTTAGCCTTGACTTACACTCTAATTTGTTGTTGACATAAATAAATTTGACATGATGGGACAAAAGATTCAAAATGGACGACCATTTTGTTTTAAAGAATGAGCCATATCTCTGACATACCTTGTCTTGTTACAATCAGACTTTACATAAACGTCTTACATCATATTACACACATTTGGTTCATGGTGGAATAATTTTTCATGCAGTTAAACTTTCTTTTTACGAGTGGTCTCAGGATTATCAAATATAGTGTAAATCGTAACATTTAATGACGGGAATTGAAATTTGTAGAAATAGGGATAACTGCTGCACTATTATTTACCATTTTTATTAACCGTAGCATGTATTGTCTCCTTTTAAAACAATATCTCTATTCTTTTGAAACAAATTTGAAGAATAAAAATGTTTTAATGTATATTTTTGAAAAGAATAATAGTTTTCTAATATTTCAGTGACACCATAGTACATTTTGTTGATGTCAAAAAAGTGGTCTTTTATTCAGTTTTACTTGTAGCTGGTCATGCAGCATTCACTAAAATCGTCTTCCAAATACCACACCTCTCTTTGCTGCAGCTGATGCAATTTGTTGTAAGTTTTAGCCAGCAACTACTCTATACATCATGAAATGACTTAAATTTGAAGCAGTATGTCAAGCCTTTCAGAAATAGTCAAATTTTGTTGTTGTACTGTCATAATATTGTACCTCATTCAGGTGATATAGTCTGTTAAAAAAGATTTAATATTGTACAAATGAATAGATTATTACTCATTTAAGTACTAGCATGGTTTGTATTTGTTCAACTGCCTGTCTGTGTTTAATTAAGTAATTCAAGTGTTTTACATCACCGTCAGAACTGGCAGTAATATATTTGTAGTGTCACTAATTATACGTCTTGTAATAATATTGTGAATCAGTAATCAGGGAAAAAAATAGTAAATTGCCATCATGTTTGTAATTTTTTTTCAGAATTTTAGAAAAAAGATGAAAGATTTTTTTTTTTTTTTTTGAAAAATCAACATAGAAGCACCATTTCAATTACAATTTTAAAATTAAAATTAAAATAAAACTGCACAAACACATTGATTGAAAAAAAAAGTGAACAGTGAAAAGAAGAAATGTATAATGTTCGGTTATAGTGCAGGTTTCTGCGCATTATTCCTTTAATTGATTGTTATTAAATATCAGCTTTTATTTTGTTTCAATGTTTTTGTCTGTCCATGTGTCTGCAGGCCTGTCTGTTGGCATGCACATTAAATAAAAATAAATAAATAAATAAATAAATTTCCAGACAGCAGTGCTTCGCAAGACTTTTTCAAAAACAAAAGAATTTATTTTTGCTCTGCTGGTATCCACATTTTCAGCCTCTCTGCAAGCTGATGCAAGCTAAAACACTTCCTGCTTTAAAGTGACCTATGACCTTTGAACCTAACTGTGAATTGTGTATATGAAAATAAGACTAAATCGGCTTTGTAGGAATCATTTCTAATCTATACAGTAAGCAAATATTCTAAGCACAGATTAATGTGAGTTAGTGAAGAGAAAAAAACATGATTACTAAATATTTTACTGAATATAGTTGTGAATAAAATAGTTTTGTTTTGATTAGATCTCCAACTGGAATTTTGTGGTTTGGACAATGATTTGACATTACAATGATATATTTGATAAGTGTCATGATTGATGTGTCATGCTTAAAAGCTCTTTTGCAACCATTAGTCATCACTTTCATATTTTAATTTTGTTTCTCAGTTACAGCTGCACTGCTTTATAACGGAAAACATCTTTAATGAATTTATTTCTCTCCCCTATAATGCCTCCATTTTGCTCCCCACTAATGCCTCCATTTTTCTACCCTATGCCTCCATTTCTACCCCATTAATGCCTTCATTTTTCTTCCCTATAATGCCTCCATTTTGCTCCCCAATAATGCTTTCATTTTTCCCCTACAATGCCTTCATTTTCTCCCTATAATGCTTTCATTTTCCCCCCTATAATGCCTTCATTTTGCTCCCCAATAATGCCTTCATTTTTCTCCCCAATAATGCCTTCATTTTTCTTCCCTATAATGCCTCCATTTTGCTCCCCAATAATGCTTTCATTTTCCCCTACAATGCCTTCATTTTCCCCCTATAATGCTTTCATTTCCCCCCTATAATGCCTTCATTTTGCTCCCCAATAATGCCTTCATTTTTCTCCCCAATAATGCCTTCATTTTTCTTCCCTATAATGCCTTCATTTTGCTCCCCAATAATGCCTTCATTTTTCTCCCCAATAATGCCTTCATTTTTCTCTCCAATAATGCCTTCATTTTTCTTCACTATAATGCCTCCATTTTGCTCCCCACTAATGCTTTCATTTTGCTCCCCACTAATGCTTTCATTTTGCTCCCCACTAATGCCTTCATTTTGCTCCCCAATAATACCTTCATTTTGCTCCCCAATAATGCCTTCATTTTGCTCCCCACTAATGCCTTCATTTTGCTCCCCACTAATGCCTTCATTTTGCTCCCCACTAATGCCTTCATTTTGCTCGCCAATAATGCCTTCATTTTTCTCCCCAATAATGCCTTCATTTTTCTCTCCAATAATGCCTTCATTTTTTTCTCCCCTATAATGCCTTCATTTTGCTCCCCAATAATGCTTTCATTTTGCTCCCCAATAATGCTTTCATTTTGCTCCCCACTAATGCCTTCATTTTTCTCTCCAATAATGCCTTCATTTTTCTTCCCTATAATGCCTTCATTTTGCTCCCCAATAATGCCTTCATTTTTCTCCCCTATAATGCCTTCATTTTGCTCCCCAATAATGCCTTCATTTTTCTCCCCACTAATGCTTTCATTTTTCTCCCCACTAATGCCTTCATTTTGCTCCCCACTAATGCCTTCATTTTGCTCCCCACTAATGCCTTCATTTTGCTTCCCACTAATGCCTTCATTTTGCTCCCCTATAATGCCTTCATTTTGCACCCCTATAATGCCTTCATTTTGCTCCCCAATAATGCTTTCATTTTGCTCCCCACTAATGCCTCCATTTTGCTCCCCAATAATGCCTTTATTTTGCTCCCCAATAATGCCTTCATTTTGCTTCCCACTAATGCCTTCATTTTGCTCCCCTATAATGCCTTCATTTTGCTCCCCTATAATGCCTTCATTTTGCTCCTCTATAATGCCTTCATTTTGCTCCTCTATAATGCCTTCATTTTGCTCCCCTATAATGCCTCCATTTTTCTCCCCAATAATGCCATCATTTTGCTTTCCAATATTGCCTTCATTTTCTCACCTGTATAATGCCTTCATTTTCTCACCTGCATAATGCTATTATTTTCCATACCTATAATGCCTCCATTTTGCACACCTATAACGCATAATGCCTTCACTTTCCAGTTTTATTCAATAACTAATTGTAATAGAAAATTTCAAAGTGATTTAATGCTTCCCTTCCATTTTTAACTAAAATAAATGATCTGATTATGCTTGGAATGAGTTAATCATTACCTCAAAGCTGTGTGCTTTTTAGTCATCATTAATTGTTTTGTATTTTTTCCAGTTATTATTACTTAAAACAGTAATAGATGCAATTTATGCAGAAAATGAAGAAGCTTTAGCAGAATATTTAAATGACTATTTTGATCCTCATGAAATGGTAAGTGTTAAAATTTCTTGATTTGTGAAATAATTTTACTTTTCATAAGATGATTGCATGGTATATATTATAAATGAACTTTGGATAGATTCTTTTTGTCTATCTCATCAACTAATTAGAATATGAATGTTTGTACTTAATGATTTTTAGGTCTCATACTGCCAAATAAAATTTCCGTAGACAAGATTTCAAAGATCAATATAATGTTCTTATTTGGTGATTTATTTATTTGTATGTAATCAAGTCTTTGCAAGAAATACACATGTTGTGTATATCAAACTCCTGCGAAATGGGTGGAAACGAAACTCACAGATTTGTCAAACTTCAGAATAAATGTTTTGTAGACGGTATCTAGTAAATAGTTGCCAAGATTGACAGGTCACCATTACTTGTCTTTAAAAAAAAAGCTTCACACATACAAGTCTGATGAAATTAAATTGCTCTCTCACGCATTGCATTTCAAATATTAAGAAAAAAACATTGGCTAGCAAGAACCAAATGATTTCACAGCTACAGTCATTAATTAGTGGTATTATATCTTAATACATGTTGGTTCACTTAAGTTGGTTATCCAAGATGGCTGACCTTTGGCCATTTTCGTTGGGAAAACATTCTTTCTTAACCAATCAAAGACAGCTGACTGGCTGCCATTTTTTGAAATCCACAGTTTGATTATGTCCATTTCTTAGATTAATATTGTTAAAGAGATTATACATCTCCATTTTGAATAATTTTCTTTCTAAACAAACCAGATATAGCTGATTGGTAGCCATTTTTTTAATGAATTGCTTCTCATCATGAGTCGATATCACCATTTTTCACAGGGCATCATCATGAATATGAATAGTTTCCTTTTATAATAGAGGAAATACAATATTCTCAGAAAAATAATTGTTTAACTGTATCTTGCATAAAGTCTAAATTGGATTTTTCTTCTCACCCACACATGCAATAATAGTAGCTATGGACTTCATATTTCGTGCCTTGAAAATAATTATCTTCACACCGTGGTGTATGGAAAGAGGGTATGATGAGAGGACTGTGATAAATAAACATGTGTAATCCCACGATGTTTCCTTTCTTGCTTGACATCAGTGTACACAAGTGGGATTATGTATATATTATCACATGTATACTTCCACATTATGATGATATAACTGATTACAGGATGTAGACATTGATGATATTTTACTGAATAAAAATATATTAAATGTTAGTGTATCACTTTCCTTGAGTCCGATAATTTGTGATAATTTGTGATAATTTGTGATAATTGCTGCAATTTGGAATTTCTTAACACTTTTGTAGCTACAGATAGCCGAAATGAATTGAGAAAAAAATGATGTGCTGATATCAACTGATTTGATTGAATAATAATTTTAAAATTAATGTATACACTTTGCGTCTACCATTGGCTCTCGTCAGTTAACCATGCTGTGGAATTTAATCAAGTCTCTTTTTACCGCAGCGATTTTGCCCCATAGGACAAGATGCATTAAATAACACTTACTGGTATTGTGATGGTAAGTTGCATTTTATCTTTTCATTGATTTAAACGTTTTAGGTTCTACGTAACCGTCTGATGTAATTTCTCGGGCATGCCTCAGTGGACCAGTAGTGTTTTGTACACTGACAAGGCCTAATACTAGTTTTCATTTTCATAGTTTGGTTTCAGTGGAGCTTAATGGCTTGAAATGGTTTTTTGTTACCTGGCAACATTCACTTTCACCAATTTTCATGTGTAATTGATGAAATTTTACTGAAAACTGTCCATTTCAACACAACATAATACATCAACAAAATTTTTATAATTTCACCATTTTGCCCACTTTCTATTCCAAGGATACTAGAAAGTATTCACTTAGGCGGTACGTGGTCGTACATTGACCTCAGTTATGCGTTTAGTGACTGTGTACATACTATGCTTTGCAGTTTCTGTGAAATAAAGTTAAAATGGCTAACAATATTGTTTCCATGGGTACTCTAATCCTGCCATTTTGTATTTTGCCTTTTATTGAATATCAGAGTGTTTGTAATTTTCGCAAATGTCTATTGATTGGTTGTGTACTTTCTTTAATTGTTATTTTTGTAATTTCAGATCTGAGGCTGTACAGAGAAGGTGCTATAAAGAAGGGAAATAAAAAGTCCTGGGAGTGTGTATGCGTCACATCAGACGACTGGCATAGTTTTCTAAGACAGTATCGTAAAGTAACCAACCAACAAGAAAAAGAATTGGTTAATTATATACAAAATGATCTATGGCCGCTCATTCAAGGCCAACTAGAGGTAAATAATGTCTGTACTCTCGGGGGTGGCGCTACATCACATTGCTAAGACGCGTACCACTGTACCATGTATTTCTATTGGCTATGCGCGAGCTGCTGTGGAGTGCCGGTGAAAACAGCTAAAGTCAAGAGAAACAAACTCAACTTTGAAGTAGTCCTGAGCAATCCAATTTATATATGTTGTTACACTGTTCAGGGGAGTCTCAACTACTATCCCAAAGTACAGTTTTCAGAGAGTTGTCGGCTTTTGTTTTCAACAAGATGGTCGCCAGGCAGTAAAAATGCCCAAATGTTCGTCCCTGTGACTAGGCAAAATATCTTGATTGCTTCATTCCTAGAACGTTCAATTTCTCGTCGCTCTGCTCAAATTAAAATTTCATGTAAATATTCATCGTATTTTTCATGACATTGTGTTGTATTTATCAATGTCGCTTTCCAACATTTTCTGTGCTAAGGTCACCTTTAACAAAATGAGCATGTACAAAAAAAAACATTTTAATTTATGCACATTAGTGAAAAAAAAATTTCCCACAATTCCAGTTTTATCAGCTATACCTATTTATCTGAAACATTGCTGTGAACGCTTTTTTGGATAACGAATCATATATTGAGAGATGACCAAAACCAGGGTGATGTTTAGACACTTTGTTCTCAACATTGTTTGTACATTCAAGGGTTTTCATGTCCATGCCCATGCCCAGCGTCAACATAGATGCTTTCTCATACTTCAATCTACATTTGGAACTATTAAAACTCCTTGTATTAATTTATGGTGTCTATTATTTTGTTCATTTAAAAAGAAAAAAAAAATGATTATTAAATGTATAGCTGTGTTCCACAAAAATTTAGATTTGTATGTCGGTCATTTGTTTTGCATTATTAAACTTGTCAATTTTCTTCTATGGCTATGGATTTGTTATTTCTACTTTTATATGCACACTATTAGGTCTGGATTAATGGTAGAGGGAGTGATTTCGCCAAAAATAGATGTATATATCACGTTTTTTAAGTAATCTTTTGATGGAACAACTAAAAAAAGATAACATGTGCTGGTATATTCAATATTTATTTATCATTTATGTGTGGTTATGACAGTTATTTTTATTATTAATTATTGTTTTAAAGGCAAAAGAAGAAGACGAATTGGAAAGGTTAAGAATTATGGAAGAGGAGGTGAGTTTGTGTTTAAGCGTAGTCCGAAAATAAGTACTTATAATTTCATCTCCGTGCATTCATTTGTACGATCTGTATCTTGTTTGCACACATCATATCATACATATGCACATGCATTTGTGGCATGATCGGATAGATCAATATTTTTAGCTTTCCTGGTTTATTAGTAATATATGCGCAGAGAGGTGTGGGGTCTTGGTCATTCATGTTACTTTAGGAAGCAATGAACTTTTATAAAATATAGAAAACGCTTTTTATATATTCTTATACGCACAATTTGACAGAATAAAATTTGTAGCATCTTGATGTCAGTCCTTATTTCGGTGAAACTTGTGAAAAACGAACAGGCTCCCAAACAGTCATCGTGAGCATTCACCCACCAGGAACACACCCTGGAACCCAAACATTTAAAATGGTCAAAAGGTGACCTTTAACAGTTCCAGGACCATATCTTGATCAATCACATTCAAACTTAACACTTACATCACACATCATATTTTAGAATCCAATTCAAGATGGCCGAATGGTGGCCATTTTGTTTTAACAAATGATATTCAATGGCCGTATCTGACCTGCCTTGAATAATATCATTCACAAATGCAAAAAAATGCACAAAAAAACTGGCTGCAGTTTGTATCATGTCTGTCATAATAGATATTAAAAAAATGAATGTCTTGTATAGGCTATCATACCACAAACAAGAACAGTAAAACCACTCTGCTGATGTAAACCACCAGCATACTAACCACACCAACCTGACCTTTGAAAAATCACCATCATTTGTTTTTCATATAATTTAATTTGATGAGCGTCAGTGTATTGAGTTATGTTGAGCACTACCAGTACGTGTCATTCTGTTCATTATATCTACTTGTGTGACTCGCGACTATCTGGTGTTGTGATTTTTCGTTTTGACATTTTAGTTAAATTTAGTTAAATTTGTTTTTTTTCCAACAGACTGAAGAAGCAATATTTAATGAATCTAACCCATTTGACTTTGATGATGAAGAAACTTTTAACCTGTTGTCAGAGGAAACGGAAAATCTCCATCAAAATGGAAATCTTTTTAACTTAAAGACAGAACTTACTAATGTAAACGGGGAAGATGACATTTTTTCTCTAAACGGCCCTGATGAGGGTAAAGACATTGAGGATAATGTGCGAAAGAAACGAAAAAAGAAGGATGAACAGGGATATAGTGACCAGGAATTTGTTTCAAATGATGAACTTGATGGAGAGAACGATAAAGGTAGGACATAGCGGTATTGGTAATTGAAAACAAAATTAAATAGATTAGTTATACATTTGGGATCCTGTAATCCCAAAATTGATATCACTGATGTGAAATGGATTCAAACCATATACGTGATGCAGATACTTTTTGGATTTCTTCTGAGATTCAAGATCACCATCAATTTCAAGGTTCCACTGATGATTCACATCCTATAGTCAATTATCCTAACTTATCCAGTATATAATAATATTTTACCTTCTTCAATGCGTGACCTTATTTGCATAAATTTACATGTAATTTATGCAAATTTATTAATACCAGTGGCATCATGGTCAGGAATTACTCATAAGCAACCAGCAATTGCCCGACAGTATACCTTCCACTGGTAACATATTTGATTAAATGTCGGTCCATCTAGGATTTATTCTAGCTTTGCATTCCTAATGAACCATGTACATTGTTTATTTATTTCCAACATACACAACTAAATTGAGCATGAAAAAGTACAAAAATCAGAAGAACAAAATCATTGTGAAGAACATAATAAATAGCTCTATTTTCCGCCATTATAATATTTTAAAAATTGATATTAATTTTTTTTCTCTCAAAACATTACATATTATTTTTGTAGTAAACATATATGGTTTGTCAGACATGCTTTGGATATATGCGGGTTTAAAGACAAAATAATTCAAGTTTATGCAAAGCTCAGTTTAAAATATGGCTTGGATTTGACCTATACAGCTATAAATAAAAATTCAGATTCATGATAGAAAAAAATCATTAAAAAAAACAACTTTTTGTTGTTGAAGGCTATGTATTCCAAGTTTGTAATATCAAGACCCAGATTCTTTTTCTGTTTATCGGGCTGCTTTAACTGATGAATTCTGGTATTGGGTACAATTTCACTATTAATTATTTCTCATCCAAAAGGTCACACCTCCTGGTACTTTCTGAGGGTACCAATTCACTATCAATTATTTCTCATCCAAAAGGTCACACATCCTGGTACTTTCTGAGGGTACCAATTCACTATCAATTATTTCTCATCCAAAAGGTCACACATCCTGGTACTTTCTGAGGGTACCAATTCACTATCAATTATTTCTCATCCAAAAGGTCACACATCCTGGTACTTTCTGAGGGTACCAATTCACTATCAATTATTTCTCATCCAAAAGGTCACACATCCTGGTACTTTCTGAGGGTACCAATTCACTATCAATTATTTCTCATCCAAAAGGTTTTACTTTTTCGACTTTTTCTTGAAAACTACAAGCCTGAATGCTTTGATACTTGGTGTATATGTACCTTGGGTAGACCTCTCTCAGATTTGTTCATTTCATGATCATATCTTCAATTCTCTAATTTTGGTGAATATTTTTGTCATTTTTGGTAAAAAGTGTTATTTTCGACTTCTTGTTAAAAACCGCAAGTCCAATTGCTTTGATATTACATATATAGGTACTACATGTGGATCTCTCTCAGATTTGTTCAT